TCAAGTGAGATGTCATCCCAAGCTTATGGCAAAATGGCTACAGAACTGCAGAAAAAAAGAGCAGCACGAAAATCGAGTCGGCACTTCCACGGGCCCAGAGTGCAAGCACGCTGTGCCAAGTAATTCGGATAGGTGTCGGAAAGACTCGTGGGGCCTGCCACACGCGCCCTGTTTGCTGCTCATGTCGACGTCAGACTGCGCTGCGACGACTACGGAAAGGGGGAGGAGCAGGAGGAGGAAGAGGAGCGGGAAATAATCAAAAAAGAAGAGGAAAAGGATACGATATACTTATTTTTCAGATAAGCGTGGGTGTCATCAACTTCGCCACCGTATGCACGAGCTGGCCCACACACGTGTGCAGTCTTGAAACTGGGCAGAGGGTACACACCCTTGAAATATGTATGCTTGGACAGTGAAAAACCAGGAGGTCCTGGAAACGAAGTGGAACAGAGGGAGGCAGAGGGAGGGAGACTTCAGAGGGAGGCAGAGGGAGGGAGACTTCAACAACAACGAATACCAGACGCAGACACGCTTCCAGTCAGAAGCTCAGACCTGTGCCCATTCCGCAAGCTCCTTGTCGCACTAACATGAGGCACTTCAACTTCAGATAAGCAGATGTACCATCAACTCCGCCACCGTATTCACGAGCTGCCCCACACGTTTTTGCGTTCTAGAGACTGGGCAGAGGGTACATAACCATGAAATGTACATCTGATCGCAAAACGTCCCGAGGATGTGAGCTTACGAACTGATGGAACACTGCATTGCTCGTTGATGAACGGACTGGGTACATTGCACTTTTTTAGCAACTGGGACAGCTTAGTGGGGTAAGTCTGTGCCCTTGATGCCATAACACGCACTTCCAACTCAACGTGTCGGCGCCCAGTGTAGCAATATTCCCGACGACCGTGACACACGTGCTAATCAGAGAGACTGGCATCACACACGTCGCAGTTACCAAACATCAGGCGGGATCGTTTCCTCCACGGGGTGCCAAACGGGCACGGACCAATATCTCTCACTAAGACACAAGCGTCCGCGGCGAAGTTGCGAAACTCTGGAGCGAGCCAAAGCAAGCTCATGACTGAATTCTCCACTGCCCACGGCAATTCGTAGACGATGAAGCAGCCGAATGAGCTTCAGCATTCTTGATACCTGTAAGTTGCCAGAGGCCAAAGCGCGGACGTTCCCCAGGGCACGGCCCGAGATCGTATCGGGCTAGAGCGGAACCTGCATTCAAAGGCTATCATGGCGGCCAATATCTTCCCATATCTCGCGTCAGCAAAGTGATGCCGAATGTTCCTGGGGCTGGCGATGTCGAGGGAGCGGTGCACGCCAAGGTCCCGGAGTCGAGCCCGGATGCCATGGCGCCCAGCCGCCCTGCCCACCCCGCCGGCGCCCCCGCGCAGGTCCGCCGGTCCGCCAGGCACGGCGTCGCGTCGGATGCGCCGAGTTTGGGATGACGGGCGGCGCGATGACCAGGGGCTCTATCGGCTGCGCAAACGGCCCTCGAGACGGCGCTCGTGCTGGCGCCGGAGTGCCTTAGGGCACCACCTTGCTGCGAAGCCGCTTGCGCGCCGCGTGGAATCGCTCGAGGCGCGCCGCATAGGTTAAATGGAACACCGGGCCCTTCGGGCTGCCCCGCGCATGAGCGCCGCCGCGATGGCGCTCATGCGCGGGGCCCAGCGGCAGCTCAGGCCGATGCTTTCGTCGGCGGCATGCAACTTGGACGCCCCTCCCGCGCCCCCGTCCGAATGCAAAGCAGATCCACGAGGCAGAGAGCCCGCGCACGTGTGCCAGCGGGACCTCCTCCAGTAGCACGAACTGCGCGCGGAGGGCCACGTTCCAGAATACCAGAAGTTGTCGCGGCACATCTCCCACGCGATCGCCGCCCGGATGTTCGCGGCCAGGGGGGCGCCGAGAGCGCGGGGGGCAGCGGCGCCGCCACCCCTTCGAGGCTCGTCGGCCGCGCGGAAGATGGAGGCCACCATGCCCCCCGAACTCCGGAACGAAGTGCTCGAGACCCGCCGCCACCTTCTCTCCCTTGCTGACGTTCTCGCCGTTGTCGGAGAGATCTTGGAGGTGCCGCGCCACTGACGCATCCACCTCGGCAGCCTCTCCGAGCGGCTCGCCTCGGCCGTGGGCGCCCTTCCTCCGGCCCGCGACCAGCTCGCGGCGCTGGATCTCGGCGCGCCCCTGAACCGCCGCCGACACCAGGGGAAGGAGGCCTGGCCTAGCCGGACGCTTTGGTTCGACCCTGCGCCGCGCCCTCTTCAGCCGAGGTGGCGAGAGAGCTCGCGCCGTCCGAGTTGGCCAGGCAAGCGCCTCCTCCGCGCCCGAGGTGGCGTCGCTGTTCCAGCCCACCTCCTCGTCGTCGCTCTTCGACGCGACCTCGAGGGGGCCCGTCCCCTTCTCCTTGGAGGAGCGTTGCAACCGCTTGGCCGCCGCCACATGCCGCCGAGCTGGCGGCGGGGCCACTGGGGCCTGGCGGGAACTGCGCGAAAGAGCCCCCGTCCGCGCCGGAGTCGAAGTCGGCGCACTGGCAGCCGCAGGCGCCAGCGCCCTCGCCTGGCCCCCCCCCCCCCTTTCCACGCCGTGGGCATCCACCGAAAATGAGCTCGCAGTCCTCGAGGCTGAGACACCAGGCGCCCCTCCTTCTAACGCACGTGAGGGCCCGAAACTATCGAGTGCACCTCCGTTCGAAAGCTAGACACATTGCCATATTATCAACTGTGAAGAGCACCCGGCAGTCGGTCAGTTGACGCTCGCTGGCCAGCGCCAAGACCAGAGCCCGAGACCCCAGACTGTAGATATCTTCGCCATGAAACCTCCAGGGGGCCGTCAGAAGCGCGCCGGCGCGCGTCGCCTGAACGTCCATGGGGGGCCTCGCTGGAGCCCGGATCGGCTTCGCATTGTTTTCCCTCTAGCTGCCCGTCGCAGGCGACGGCGAGCTCTCGTTGCCCTCGAACCCGGCAGGCGCCCCCATTCCAGATCGCGCCAAAGAAATTGCCCCCGGCCGACGCCCCTGGAACCCCCCTGAACTGACTGCGCTCAGGAGTGCCGCCCACTTCGGCCGCGCATCCCGCGCCTCAGAAACCCGCCGCGGCCCCGGGCCCCTCCTCCGACGCGTCCGTCGAGACGGCCGCTGGGGCCCAGGGTGGGCTCGGAGACGAGTCCGCGAGGAAAACAGGGGGGCGGCCGCGGTCATCTCCTGTCGGGCAGTGCCCCGCAGAGGCGCCAGGTCGAGATAGCGTTCGTCGATAAAACCGTAGACGCCCCTAAGGATGCCCACCCCGCCTCGACCCAGGAGCGCGCAGAAGGCGAGGCGCCCCAAGAGGACCTCCCAAGCTCGACCAGGCAGTCTGGCAGCGCAGTGCGAAAAGGACGCCCTGACGGACCTTCCAGAGCCTGGTCGAGGGGAGACAGACACGCGCCCCGCCGAGGTCCAACTGAACACCCAAGGCCCTTGCGCGCGACTGGGTGACCTCGCGCCCGCGCGCGCTCAGACCCGCAACCTCGAGTAACGAAGCCGCGGCGCGCTCGTCTTTCTCTGTCTCCGCATGGTCCGACGCCATGACCCGCGAGTTATCCGCATCAATGCAGCGACGCTTGCCGGGCTTGCCGGGCCAGGAAGGGCGCCCCCTGGGGCTGCCCGAGACGAGGGCGAAGATGCCAGGGCGACCACAATCCTGAAGAAGAGTGGAATGTGAACGACCTGCCGACAGAAGCATAGGAACCACGACGCCCCCGTCGGCAGCGAGCCCCAACGGACACCAAAGTGCCCACTGCAAGCAGCCCCCCGTCTACTCCATGACCAACCACTCCCAGCCCCCCGGCGGCAACCTGGCCCTGCGATCCGAAATAGCCAGCAAGAGCAGCGGAAGCCGAAAGCAATGGAAACGCCCTTCGCGTCTGAAAGCCCAAGGGAAAGCTGGCGGAACTGCTCGGGAGCGAGAGACTCGCGGCCAAGAGGGAGGCTACCTCCAGCCTGGAACAGTGGACTCCTGGGAGACCAGCGAACCTCCCGTAAGCTAATCGGGCGTCGATAAGAAGACTGTTTCGCCCCCCCCCCCCCTCTTCTCCACGAAAAACAGCCCGACACTTTCACGGGCGGCCCCAGCGGGCAAGACCACTGCCCGACCGATGCGACGCAGGGCGCGAAGCAGCCGCAAAACTTGCGGCGGCCGCGGGTAAGCACGGGACCCCAATAAGGACCGATAGGCGGAAGCGACTCGTGTCGCGCTCAAAAATTCAGCGCGCGGGCGCAGCATGCGCTCGTAGTTCTGCCCCAGGCACTGGTTCGCGTGACGCCCCGCGACGTCGTCCGCGACACCAGAGAAACTGACTAAGTTGCGTCCGCCGTGCTCGGTGTCATAAACGGCTCGTCCGTGCAGCAGCTCCCGAGAAGCCACTCGCTGGCTTGGCATCGCGAATCTGGAACCCAAAACAGCAGCGACTCGCTCCCGGACTCGCGGATGCACTCCAGCCTGCACAGAAAGCATCGCTGGCCCATGCCACGGGCGATGACGATCTCCTGCCAATCCATTCACATCCTTCACGGTAGCGTTGGCGTCTGCACTCGCCCCCCCGATGCGCCCGCGCAGCCGGGTCGCCTGGCGGCCCTGCCCCTGAAGAAAATCTTGGAGCGGGGCCGGAGAGAGGGGCAACATGGGGACACGACCAATGCAATCACCATAGCAATCACATGCACAGTCTTGGCCATCCGCAACGGCGCAACAAGGTCAGCCGCTGGCAGGGAGCATTGCCACTGCCCCAACCCGGTGGGAGCGAGCATCTGCTTGCAAACGCCCTCGGCGCCCTGACCAGGCTGCCCCTGGCCACGGCCCCTCGGGTCCACGACCTGGGCCTGCGCCAGGGCCGCGGCCCAGGCCAGGCAGACCCCCGCTGGGCCCGTCAGCGCCGCCGGCAGCTCCGTCGGCTCTGGCTGGGAGAACGCCGCGAGCACGCAGCCGCACGTTCCCGATCTCGAGCTCCTCCTCGGCGCCGCGGCGGGCGCCGGCGCGCATCTCGGGAGGCACCGCCGAGGGGCCGTTGCCGACGCAGCGAAATCCTTCGCGCCCTCCCAATTAGCACGGCCTGGGACCCCCGTCGCGCACGCCTCTATCACCAGGCGCACGCGGCGACTCACCGCATCGATGCACGCCAGGGAGGGGTCACTATTCTGGTCGTAGGTCCCACTCAGGCACAAGATCTCCGTCAGCAGCTTCATCTCCCTGCCCGTGCGCCCCTGGGGGCTAACCCCCGTCTCGCGGCACCAGATAGGAAACCACAGCCAAGGATCACCCCGTGCTCGTCGAAATTCGCGGGGAGGGTCCGGGCGTCCTCGCCGGACACGGGCGAGGCCGTGCCCCCGTCCAGGGCCCGTCGGAGACGTGCCTCCAGGCCGCCATCCTTGCGCTCACCTCGATCAGCGGCCTCCACGTCGTCCAACCACTTGCGGGCCGCCTCGAGGAAGCCACCCTCGGAGTCCTTCACCTTCTTCGCCGCGGCGGGCCGCCCGCTGCTGTCCACTACCAAGGCATGCAGCCCGGCAGCTGGGGCCGAGGGCAGCGGGTTCCGCTTGATCCCGAAGTCCGGGTGGAACGGGTCGACGATGAGCCACGTCTCGTCCACCTCCAGCGCTGGGAACGCCCGGCCCACGCCGTCGCCCGGGGCAGCAACGGGGCCAGCAGCAAGAGGCACGAGCTCCGCGCCCTCCGAGTCCATGGCCGCCTAGTGCTCCACGCGAGCGCCGTCCCACAAGACGGTGCTGGGCGGAGGATCGCGCACCTTGCGGATCCGAGCATAAGCCTCACCCTCCGCCATCTTGATCTGCTCCACCAAGCCCGAGTTCGAAAGCCCGTTCTTGAACCTGTAGAAGCGCTCCCTAAGGCGCGCGGGCCGCTCCACGGCCGAGTCGAGCAGCAGCCCACGCACGGCGCCGCCCAAGCCTCGGCGGCAGCGGATGATCTCCATGTACCAGTGGCCGTCGGCAGTGACGATCCGCCAGACCCCGTCACGAACGAAGTCCAAGAGTACCCTCTCGCGCCAGTACGTGTACGTGTCGAAGGGGGAACCGCCGTCCAAGGGCGAGCTCACGCATATACTCCACCTCCTCCACGTCAGCCCCGTCCACCCCAAAACAAGTGGTGCTTCTTGGCCGAGAGCATCGCGTCGACAGACTTGCCAATCACGCATCTCGGCCAGAGCGACCTTGGCGACAACGGCCCGCACGGCCAGCCAGGCGCTCCAGGCGCTCTTGGCCGCCGCGGCGGTCGAGTCCACCTGCTAGTCCAGGTGCAGCAGCAAGCCCAGCACCTCGCCAAGCTCCCCTGACCCAGCGGTCAGGCAGGGAGCCGCAGGGCCCCCGGGAGGGCCAGGGTCCAGAGCCGCCGCCGCCGCCGCCGCCCTCGCGAAGGCCTCGATCACCGAAGCGTGCCACGCGGGGAACGGGAAGCCCGGGCACGCCGGGCAGGTGGCCGCTGGGCACACCGGCGGCGGGCAGGATGGCGGGGCCGCTGACGCCCACAGGCCTATCGCAAGCAACGGGTGGAGCGTGGTGGCGGCGGCCGCGGCCCAGGTCGCGCGCCGAGGCCTCATGTGAGTGACCCCGTGAAGGCTTGAGCAAAAATGACTACAAGACGGAGACATCCACTCAGAACCTCATCCCCGTGCCCATTCCACAAGCTCCATTTCGCACTAACAAGAAAACAGACTGGGAAGACCCGGAGCAGCCCCCCTCTTCTTTCTCCTCCTCCTCGTTCTCCTCCTCGTCCTCCTCGTCCTCCTCCTCCTGCTCCTCCTCCTCCTCCTCCTCCTCCTGCTCCTCCTCATCCTCCTCCTCCCGAACCCATCGTTCTTCTCCCCCTCATCCCCCCTTCCTCCTCATCCTCCTGCCTCCTCTCCCGCATCCCTCATTATCCTCCTCTTGGCTTCCAGTGTCTCTCCCTCCCTCACTCATCCCTCCCCCACTCCCTCCCAACTCCCCACCCAAGCCCGTGACATGCGTCGTCTCCCAAACCCTCCCACAATATGTGATCAGGAGGGCGCCCACCTCCAAATATGGACAGAGCTGGGAACACTGCGCCAGCGAAAGACTACAACGCAGGGCTGGCCCCTGCACTGCACCGAGATCTGGCCAGTGCCGCCTGCGGTTGCTGTAGCTCGCTCAAGATTGTCAGCAAGTGCTGCCATTGCCCGCCTTTCTCGAACGCCCTGATTCCAGCAGGGTAGCTGGCAACGCCTGCTTCTACTTTCCCCTCGCACAGCTCGCTCAGTAACCACAGCGCATCCTGTCACTGACGCTTTTCCTCGCACATGCTGATCCTGGATGTGCAGGTGGTGACATCCAACTCCCCCAGCTCGCCCAGCAGCAGCAGAGCATGTTGCCACTGTCCACCATTATCACATGCGTTGACCGCAGCCGCGTAGGTGAATGAGTTCGGCATTAGCTTAGCATCAAGCATGCCGTGGAGCAGCAGCAGCGCCTGCATCCAGCGTCCGCTTTTCTGACACGCGCCGACTGCGGCACTGTAGCTGATGACGTCTGCTTCTAATGCAACGTCCAACATCTCCAGGAACAGCGACAACGCCAACTCCCACTGCCCCCCTTGGTCGCACGCGCTGATGGCAGCCGTGTAGCTGATGACGTCTGGCTCGAGCTCCGCCTCCAGCAACTCGCTGAGCAATCCGAATGCGTGCTGCCACCGCCAACATTTGATCATGAAAAAGACGGGCTCCGAGGGAAACGGGCCCTGGAAATTTCTCGCCGTCTTCAAACTTCCGGGGCCCTCCACGGGCCCCGGGACCGTCCAGCCAGGACTCAGGATGAAGAGCTGTTCCTTGGGAGAGCCCTGGAGTGTAAGCCCCGTTTCCCTGAGAACGGCTTTCCTCATGGCGAAGATTCCCCGCAAGCAGCGATACCAGCATTGTAGCAGATGGTATTCGCCTCCAGCTTCGACTCCCGCAGCATGCAAAGCAGAAGCATTGCATGCTGCCACTGTCCACCTCTCCCGCACGCGCTCATGCAGGCAACGTAGCTGACGAGATCACACTCCGACTCTAGACTCAGCTCGCTGAGCAGTGACAACGCGTGCTGCCACTGCCCCCCACTATCACACGCACTGATTGCAGCATTGTAGCTGATTGAGTTTGGTATCGTATCCGACTCCCTGAAAGCAAAGAACAGTGACAAAGCATGCTGCCATTTCCCATCCTTCTCACAGGCGCTGACTCCAGCGCTACAGCTGATGACGTCCGGCTCCAGTCTTACCTCCGCCATCGTGCTGAGCAGCAGCAGCGCCTGCTGCCACTGCCTGCCTTTCTCGCACGCGCTCACACCAGCGTTGAAGCTGATCACGTCTGGCTGTAGCGTCGACCTGCACATATCCCGAAGCAACGACAGCGCATGTTGCCATTGTCCACTTTTCTCGCACGCGCTGATTCCAGCATTGTAGCTGATGACATCACGCTCCAGCTTCACCTCCGAAAACATGTCGATGAATGACAGCGCGCGCTGCCACTGCCCACACTTCTCGCAAGCACTGACTCCAGCGTTGTAGCTTACGACGTCTGGCTCCAGCTTCCACGCTCGCAAATCGCTGAGCACTAAGAACGCCTGCTCCCAGCACCCGCCTTTTCCACATGCACTAATTCCAGCATTGCAGCTAATTAAGTCTGGCTTCAAGTTCGCCTGGCACGCCTCGCTGAGCATCGATACTGCACGCTGCCACTGCCCAGCCACCTCATATGCGCTGATTCCAGCGTTGTAGCAGATGATGTTCAGCTCCAGCGTTACCTCCGACGCCTCCCTCAACAATGCCTGTGCGTGCTGCCACTGTCCGCTTCCCCCGCACGCGCGAATGCCAGCGCTATAGCAAACGATATCATGTTCTAACGTTGAAGCCCCTAACTCCCTGAACAACAGCAGCACATGTTGCCACTGCCCAGCTTTCTCGCACGCGCTGATACCAGCACTGTAGCTGACGACATCTGGCTTCAATCCCGCCCTCACCAAACCGCTGAGCAACCACAGCGCATCCTGCCACCGCGCTCCTTTCTCGCAAGCGCTGGCTGCAGCACTAAAGGTGATGACGTCGGGCTCCAACTTCTCCCCCAACAGTTCGATGAACAGCGACAGAGCTAGTTGCCACTGTCCCCCCTTTTCGCAAGCGCTGATTCCAGCGCTGAAGCTTATGAGGTCGGGATCCACGCTCGAGTCCTTCATATGTCTCAGCACTGCCAGCGCCTGCTGCCACTGCAAACCTCTCTCGCACGCGCTGATTCCAGCATTGTAGCTGATGACATTTGGCTCAAGCCTGATTCCTGAGAACTCGCTGAGTAGTGACAGCGCGCGCTGCCACTGCCCGCCTTTCCCGTATGCGCTGATTCCGACACTGTATGTGATTACATTTGGCTCCAGCTTTGCTTCCAACATTTCTCCGAGCAACAGCATCGCATGCTGCCACTGCCCGGATGCTTGGCAGGCGCTGATTCCAGCGGTGTAGCTGCTTCCGTCTGGCTTCAACACCGCTTCCTGCAGCTCGCTGAGCAGACTCAAAGCCTTCTGCCACTGCCTGCCCTTCCCACATGCGCCGAGAGCGACATTGTAGGCGACGGCACTGACCTGCATGCGCGACCGCAGGGCGGCCTGGAGCGTGTGCAGCGCTGCGCTCCACTGCTTCGTTTGTCCTTGGCTCTTGGCGGCAGCTTCGAGAGAAGCTGCAGGAGATTGCTGGAGGGCTTCGGAGGGAGTGGAGGCAGACGGAGTTGGTCCAGCCCCCTACCCTAACCCCTGTTTTGGGATCGAGGAGAAATGATTGGGCCACCAATTCCCTCTGACTCATCCCCCTGCGAACCCTCCAGGATCGGCTTTCCTGAGGACGCACCCTGCTGGACACTGGCACCATGGGCGGGCCGTTCCTGGCACGGCCGTACAAATGCCAACATGGACGTTCGTAGACTGTGAGCGAAGAGGACTGGTAGGCTTGAAGCTTGAGCCTGGAAGGCTGCAGCAGCGCAAGGAGCTAGAGCTGAGGGACACGGCTTCAGGACACCTGTGGTGGGGACAAGGATGCACAATCGAAAATCGGCTCCCATTTCACGCCTCCTCGGTCTCCCCCTCCCACTCCCCCTCCTCCTCCTCATCCTCCTCCTCCTCCTGCTCCTCCTCCTCCTCCTCTCCTCCTCCTCCTCCTCCTCCTCCTCCTCCTCCTCCTCCTCCTCCTCCTCCTTTTCTCCTCCTCCTCCTCCTTCTCCATCCTCCTCCTCCTCCTCCTCCTCCTCCTCCTCGCCTCCGCCTCCGCCTCCGCCTCCGCCTCCGCCTCCGCCTCCGCCTCCTCCTCCTCCTCCTCCTCCCTCCTCCTCCTCCTCCTCCTCCTCCTCCTCCTCCTCCTCCTCCTCCTCCTCCTCCTCCTCCTCCTATCGCTCACCCCTTTCCACGTGGGGGTGCACGGCCTCTGGGGACCTTCAAAAACTTCACGGGGGACCTCCGCCAAAAGATCGCCCCCCCTGGCCACGAGATGCCACCCCAAGAGGCCCCACGCTGGCTCCAAGCCTGTACGCGGCGGCGGCAGCAAGCGGCGACGACGAACACGACTAAACAAATCGCGAGGCACCGCTGCCTCGGAAGGCAGAGGGCGGCAGCGCTGGCTTGATGCTGTCCGACTGCGCCGGGGGGGACGCATTGGCCGCACCTGAGGAAGCCTGGAATGCGAGGGGCCCGCTCCGGAAACCCTGAATTCACATTGGCACTTCGGTGGCAATCAATGGGGGGCGGTGAATGGGGAGGGGGGGGAACATGCACATGTCGTGCCCCTTTGGGGCCCCAAGGGGCCCTGTAGGGCCCCTTTGCGGGCACAAAAGGTGCACATTTCTTCACCCCCCCATTCATCGCCCCACCATTATGCAATGCCCGAGCATTGCTTTCGCCAGCTTCTGCAGGCAGACCCGCCGCCGTTTTGCATCCGCCGGCGCCCGCCGCCCTTCCACCGCCTCCTGCCGAAGCATACCAGTCAGCCTCTCGGCTCTGGAAGGCGGCGCCCTTTCTGGAGCGCCCCACGCGTCTGAGCGGACGGAAGGCCTCGGGAGACGAAGCAGCCCAGAGCTGCGCCGGGGCTCGGGACGACTCGGGACCCACGACCTCGCGCCAGGCCTCGCCCAGGCGGTGGCGCGCTGCTCCGCTGCTCCGCTGCTCCGCTGCGGCGCTCGGCCAGCGTCAGCTGGCGTCGGCTCCGCGGGGACGACGACGGGCGGCATGCAGGCGGCAGCCGCGGCGCCAGCCAGAGCGGCGCGACGGCGCGGCGCAGCCAGAGCCGCGGCGCAGACCGACGGCCGCGGCGGCTTGCACGAGGGCGGCGTCGGCAGCGCCGGCGGCGGCACCACCGCCGCGCCGCGGCCGCGCTGCGGCGCGCGTCCTGCCAGGAGCCCCTGCGGCAAGCCCAGCGGGGGCCGGGTCGCGCGAAGGTCTCGCCGCAGCAGCGCCCTGCACTGGGCGGGGGTGTGTCGATCGACCGCGAGCGCTGGGTCGGCCCTGAGGTGGGCGGGGGAGCAGGGCCACCGCGGGCAAAGGTGAGAAAGACAACCATCGTGTGTGGAGGAAGGAGTTAAGAAGACACAGGTTGCGAGTGTGTACTAAACACCCCCTACATACTCGATCATATGGATCTGATCGTTGCTCCCATCCCGATCCCCCCAACCCGAAAATGAATTCTTTTTCTGACACGAACGTGGTCAAGGCCAGGGCGGGGCGGCCTGCGCTCAGGCCCTCACCTGCGCACCCGTGGCCTCCCCGACGCCACGCGGCGCGCGCTCGAGTGGCTGCGCCGTCGCCGTCGCCGTCCTCGAAGCCACCGCCGTTGTCGTCGGTGCTGGAAGTGCCGTCGTTGCCAGCGACGTGGCCGTGGCCACGGCCGTGGCCGTGGTCATCGTGTCAGCGCTAGGGGTGGGCCACGGGGAGGGGACAGCCCAGGCAGGGCAGGGGGGGGAGGGGCAAGGCCAAGAGCGGGTCCAGGGTGGGGGGGCCACTGAGAGGAGGGTCAGTGCAGGCGGGCAGACCCCAGAATGCGGTTGCGGCAGGGGGGGCAGAGTCGCGTCGTTGTGCGAGCATGGTGGCCATTTACGTACCTCCCTTCCCTCCTCCTCCTCCGCCTCCTCCTCCATCCTTCTCTTACAGATAATTCCTCCCCGTCGCACCCCCAGACGTGTCGGGTGTCGGTAGGCCTGGCCGGGCGTTTCGCATGAGCCTTCCTCCCCAACTATGATCCAGAAGCTTGACAGTGGCAGCAAGTTCATGGATGGAGGGCGGGTAGTTTTCAAAATGTCACTCGGCGCCGCGCACATTCGTCTTAAAAGCTTCCAACACTGTTTGCCGCAACTTCAGGGTTGGAGGGCGGGCGGTTTCCAAAATGTGGTTCTTGCCTTAGCGCCGCGCGCATTCACCGTCAAGGCCTGCAGCCTTTCCACGGATGGAGGGCAGGTGGTTATCACAAGTTTGATCTCGCCATAACGCCGCGCACGTTCGTCTTAAAAGTTTGTAGCGGTTTCGCGGATGGATGCGGGTGGTTGTTCAACACGTTGTTTCGCACATGTGTCTTAAAAGTTGGCAGCAGCTCCGAGAATATTGGGCGGTTCCTTGATAACTGTGGCTCGATCTAGCGCCGCGCATATTCGTCTTCAAAGTTCGCAGCAGTTCCAAACACTCGTACGGTCGGAGTCCTAGGAACGTGTTTCGGCACGATGTTTTCGGATTGACTGGGCACAACAGCGACGTTGATCCGCTGCTTTGTATTCCTAGGGCCTGCGTCCTGGCACGATAAAAAAAAGGCTAGACCGCAACAATCATGTTGATCCGCGGCGTGGGAATCCCAGGAACGGCGTTATGGCACGATTGAGGATTGCCATACGCTTGTCTTCAACAGCACCCGCCATAACAATAAATCCGTTCTGGGGCCTATGAAGAGGGAATTTGGAGAGAGGATTTGCTGCAACATCGTTAATGCGTCTTGAATTGACACTGGTCCTCCTCCTCCTCCTCCCCCACCCCCTTTTCCTCCTCCTCCTCCTCCTCACCCCCCTCCTCCTCCCTTTCCCCGTCCTCCTCCTCACTGTCCTGCTTGGCTTTCTCCTCCTGCTCTTCGTCCTCTTTCCCCATCATCTTTACTTTTAAATAACTCTTCCCTGCCGCGACACTGGACGTGACCGTAGGCTGGGCTGGGCGTTCCGCTTGAGATTACGTCGCTAACTACGTTCCCGACGCCTGACATTTGCGACAGATTCAAGGATGGAGCCTGGGTGGTTCTTAAATATGGTGTTCGCCGCGAACCCGCGCACATTCGCGTAAAAACTCGGCCACGCATTTATCAAACATTGGCTCTCGCCTGGGCGTCGCGCACATGTGTCTTAAGACTTGCAACCTTGTCAATAATGAAGGGCGGCTTGTTTCCACAATGCGGCTCTCGCCCTTGCGCCGTGCACACCAATACGACCCAGCCACCCAGCCCTCACCATCCTGTACGAAAAACGATTCGGCGCACGTCCGTCCAACCCAATCTTACCATCCCGCGCAACGAACTACAAATTTGCTTACACCCATGCGACCCACCCCCCACCACCCGATGTAAACAGACGATCGTTCGGCGCACATACGTACTACCCCCCCGCACCACCACCACCATAAAATGCGAAAATATTCGGCGCTCGGCACAGCCGTCATCATCATCTCATGCAGAAGGAGCGAGTCGGCGCACGTCCACGCGACCTAATCTCCACCATCCTATGTAAACAATCGTAGCCGGTGACCATCAATCCGACCCAACCCTCGCCGTCCTATGCCGAAAATCAACCCGTGAACAACCATCTGGCCCAACCCTCTCCATCGATGTAAAAAATCATGTCAAGCGCGCGTCTGCTGATCTCCCCCATTTGCCGCGAAGAGCCCCCGGGCACGAAAGGCACAAGCAAGAAATACATATGATGGCAAGTATAGAAAGACCGGTACGCATCGGGCACCCCTCGCCGACTCCTATTTTGAACCCAAACGCTCCCCAGGCTGCCCGAGGCGTTCCCCGAGGCCCCAAGACGCTCCCAGGCGTTCCCAGACGCGACAATCCCTCCCCAAGCGCCCCCAGGCTCGCCGTCGCCACCAGCAGCAACAGCACCCACATCTTCATCTTCATCGTCCTCGGCGGCGCTGGAGGCTCCAAGGAACAGATGATTTCCGATCGCGTTGACGCGTGAACCATAAGCGTGTTGCACAATGGGGCTCTCGCGTTGCCGGCGCCGCACATCACCGCTATACACAGCCAGAGAACAAACGGAAGGTGGGTCTTTTTCAACAAGGGGCTATCGCCCTGGCGCGTCGTGCACACTCGGCTTGCACGCTATCTTTAGCTGCGCGAGTGGACGGCGAGTCCTTTCCGAGACGGTGAACGGCGAGTCATGTCCAACACGGTGGGGGCAGATAAAAAAATCCAGGGTCTGGAAGCCGGTGGGACTCCAATCGTGGACCGGCCATGGACATCACCGCCCCCCTCATCAGATAAGGAATCCTCCAGCGTCTGCAGCCTCCAGGGCACATTCCTTAACGAACGCGCCCACCATATTGGGCTCTCCCCGTGGCCTCGCGCACATTCGAAAACAGAGTCCATGATCTACACTCAAGTGGCCCTCCCTCGGCCTCTACGACCTGGCGTTTCATATTGTGCAACAACTGACACGGATGGAGGGGGCTCCTCTTTCGAAACGGGGCTTTCGCTTGAGATTTCCGCGAAGCTTACGTCCACGATTTAAAGATAATGCAACGCTCTTCTCAAAATGAAGCTGTCCCTGGGCCTTCTCGAAAGGCTCTCGCGTGGAACTTCCGCGGGGCATACGTCCACGACTTTGACATCCTGCAACGCTTAGACGGATGGAGGGCATGTGCTATTCAAAATTGGGCTACCCTGGGCGTTCTTCAGGTGGAGGGAGGAGCTTCTATAACAAGCGCCCTCGTCTGACCGGCGG